TACTGTTAAGAAAGTGGTCTGCATATTTTTAAAAAAGATCAGATAGGTGATTACGCTTGTGCAGTTAATTAATAAAAAGGGAAGTAGGTAATGATTCACTGGGGAAACTTTTATATCATACTATCTGTTAAGAGGGATACTATGCTGTAGGGACAATAACGGGGTGCTCATTCTGAACGCACACAGTGCTGTCCTACAAAGACATCAAGATTTGTAGGAAATCAACCCTCCAGCAGTCCTGGCAAGCCAGACTGACCCCAGCAAATGAAAATAATCAAAAGTAATTAGAAGCGTGCTGGACTACTCCTCGGAGAGCCGAGCGGGAGAGTAAACATGCCTGAATCCTCGAGCCACTGCAAAGGCCCATGTCTGAGCTGTTAGGTGCCCTGACCTTGTCCACATAAAGATGTGATTTATGAAGTGCAGGGCACAGCAGCAGGGCTTCTGTCTTCTCCTGGAGAACCAAATTACTGAGGTGGAGATTAACATGCTTTCAGTCGGGCCTGTTTCCAGACCAAGGGAAATTTTTTATTTACATTTTTTTTTTACCTTTAATTTCCTCTTTTTTTTAAACAGCTTCCCCCCATCCCCCACCCAGTAGATTAAAAAAAAAGAAAAAGAAAAAGTCCACCAGGAAAGACCAGAAATACCTCGCCTGAGCAGTGATGATGTGTGTTGGGGAGCCCTTTCTGTTCATCCCTTTCTGTTCATAGACTCTTATCGTGCTGGACCGTTATGTGGGTCTACCTACGCAGAACCACAGATTTCACCTTCGAGTTTAGGGAGTCAAACTTGTGAAATACTCTCCTGATTAAAACATTTAAATTCAAATTAAGCAAAATATTACTTTTGATTCCACTTCTTTCTGATGTAGTTTCTCTTGCCTAAATGTTATGCTTCATTACAAGGCTTACACTTACATAAAAAGATTTGTGTGAAGAAAATGTAGGTGGCCAAGAATTTGAAGGAAGAAAGAAAAGAGCCAACCTAGAGTTTCAGCTCTGGGAGAAATACTTATCTGGGAAACAGGGAAGTCTCTTGAGTCCCAAAGACATATATTTTTCTTATCTTTGTCTCAGGTTAGGTAAGATCTTACAAAACCCTATTCTGACATGGAAAAGGAAGCATTGATTTTCTTTTTAAACACACATCAATATCTATACATGAAGCTAATTTAATTAGCAAGCAGTTATTGTTCAGCCAAATGTCAATTTCTCAGATTATTTCATGCTTCCTGACATGAACTCTATGAAACAGGATTTAACAGGATCTCCATGAATGAAACTGCATTTCTGCACTTAAGAAATGTAAAAATGCACTTGTATGTTCTTGAAAAGCTACAACAGAAAAAAGCGTTAAAACAAAAATTCAGGCTGGGAGTTCAGTGTATATTTAGCCACCTCAAGAAAGCCAAAGCTGCAGAATTAAGGGAACTCTACTTAGGCTGAGGTTATAAAGTGCCTTCCTCTATAAACTAAAAACATAATGTCAGGGTGAATGGGAACATACTTTATTAACTTTATGGTATTGAAAACTGCCAGCAAGTTGTCTTGTTTTTAAATATTGTCCTCTGCAGAGTGTTACAGGGCTGTTTGTCCACAGGAAGCCTATTAAAAGTGGACAGTGCAGTCATTTCATCTGGCTTTGGCTGGACTGCTTTTCTTTCCTTTAATGATGTGCTGGAATGTACCATGCCCATAGGGTCTCCATTAGCAGAACTTTTACTTCTGGGACAACCATGAAGTTTAAGGCTTAAAAGAGGCATCAGCTTACAGTCTTGTGGGAATCACTTGAATACTGGGGCACTAACTTCTTACTGCTTTAACTAATATATTGACTTATTTTAAATAAACAGTTACACAATGAAGGCAGAGCCAGTGGCCTTATTGGAAATCTTTGAGTCTTTTAAAGATTCTGCAATCCACGCAGATGGGGGAGGAAGGAAGGGGCCTGAAGAGGGTTTATGCCCTTTTCAAACTAGGAAGAAAACACATTAACCTCTCCCACCCCAGCCCTGCCATCAACCAAAGGGGGATCTTTACAGCAACCAGAAAATCTATCAACTCACACTCAAACCTCATATTTTTCAATGCCTTCTTCCTAGTAAACAACAATTAACAGAAAGGGACAGAAAAAAACCCAGTAATTCCATCTGGAAAAATGTTTTAAAAATATGATTCTCTTTTTAAACATTGCTGATAAATCACTCTATTTTCTGCTTTCTCCAAAGCTACACATTTGTTGTAGTATGTTCTCCCACTCCATCCCCTTAAATATTTAGATTATCTGTCATGATACATGTTTGCAAATTAAAGCTGGTTTGAGATTATAGTAAAACCATTATTTTTAATAGCCCATTTCAAGGGCAGCGCTAAACACTGCAGAACACGCATGTTACTGATTACTGCTGAGCAGACAGTGGCTTTTGCAGATTAATTTGTAACTGGGAACTACTGTAAACAGATTTCACCAGAAATCCCAAGGAATAAAGGGAATTGGTGGTGGTATTTGGCTCCTTGTATTTATTTATTGTTTTAGAAATCTCCTGATGGAGAAAGCAAGTTAACCAGGGAGAAAAACAAGCTCCCTGCAAAAACGTTTTCCTCCAGCCCAGTCTCCCCTTATGTTTCACTTCTGATGGGAGGAGGTGGGTTAGGATCTTTTCCCAAAGTGTTATTATCTAAATAGCGAGTCTCCTTTCATGAGAAACATCTAGCTACTCCGGGTTTTCTGGTTTCTGTTGTTAAATTTCAAGTTGTGTTGTCAAGAGAAAGTGGGGTGACTCTGTCTTTACATGAAGTTACATAATCAAAGGAGAGAGGGGGTGAAGTTGGTGAGAACAAGAGAGATTGATACTTTTGTAGTGTTTGCCCGGGTCCTTTCGGGTGATTTCCTTTAATATTTCTCCCAGTTTATTCAGTGAAGAACAAGACTGATGGTGGTATTAGTAAAATAATAATGATAAGGCTAAATAATCTCCCATCTCTCTAGATAAAAATCTTCCAAGGTTTCAGAGATAAAGTGTTCATTCTTTTTGGCTTTATTTGGGGAAGAGAATTTCATGTGTAGAAATTGCCGAAGCTCAGACCTGTGTCTGCGGACCTGGACTGCAAGTTGCCCACGTTCCCGGGCAGAAGCTCGGAAAGGCGCGGGACGGCTCGTAACGCTGAGGGCGAAGCCCGGCCGCTGGCGTCCAGGGCCGGCGGCAGAGGGTTCACCTGGGTGGCTGGGGCCGCCGGCGCCGCGCCTTAATTCGGGGCGCAACGCCATCTACCGGCCTCCTGCCGCACCTGCAAGTACCCAGATCTTGAAAGTCGCCCCGCCTCCCGCACCCGAACCCAATATAAGGGAAAAAACTCTGAGGCCCTTTTCACGAAATCCTAATTTAGCCAGGACTTACCACTGATTCCACACGACCTTTTTGTTTATCCACCAACATTTCCTCCTTTTCAGAGCCGTTTTGTAAAGGGCAAGGAGGTGGGGGCCGCGGGGCTGGGGAGACGGATTGGGGCGCTGAGCTCTCAGACCCGCCGCTCAGGCCGCACTGTCTGAAGCAATCGGTTCCCCAGATTACTTGTATTTAATACACAATGCATCATAAAACAAATCCCTCATCCTGACAGGAAGAAAATAGAACAGCTCATAGCTCGAGCCGGTCCAATTTATGGCTAAATTAAAAAAAAAAAAAAAGAGCTCCGACAATGGGCAAGTTGAGGAAGGGCAGGAAATCAATGGCAGCAAACCGGGGGCTCTTAAAGGTTCTCAAGCGCCGAACTCTATGGGAATATCTGACTGGGTTTTAGGTTATTTACAAAGGATTTTTCCTGTCCTACCTACCACTGCTGTGCGATTTTCCTTCAAACAATGGCCATTATCTGAAATAACAGTTCAATGTCACAGATAACAGGCCACCAAAACGAATTAGTCACCATCTCTTGTCATTCTCTCTCCCCCACATCCCTCCCTTTCGTTACTATTTTTGTTTTTAATTCAGCATTTTGGGGAAATATAGATCTGCTAGATTTACACGTCTATCTGCACTTGGAGGAAACAAAAAGGGGACTTGTGCTGTCCCCGCTTACAGTTCAACTGAAGCGCCCTTCCCATCGCGTCTCCCTCCCCTCCCCCCTGCCGGGGTCCTTTGACTGGCTCACTTTGCTTAACTTTTCATTGTTGAGTTGAGAAGTTGGATTTGTCCGTTTGTTTTTATGAATGGAGTTTTGTGATAAAAAGCATTTATTTCCATTTAACCGGTGGGTTTTACTAAATTTTCCAAGGTTGGCTATAAGCAAATCCGTAGCCCCTTTATTTTGGCCACATTCTTTCTTCCAATGTTGTTCATGAAATGTTTTAATAAAAATTGACCATATATATTAGAAAGTTACTAATCAAGGTACAGTATTGACCCCAAAGCAGCATTTATGTTAAAAGTTCAAAAATAATCCAGTTGTCAAATAGCTTAATTCCACTTTTGTGAGTCCATGGCGTTTTAATTAATGTATCAAAGTGTAAGGCAAAAACTCAGAAGACAATCCTCAATCTCTTTAAGGCCATAATACCCTATTTGGGCAGGTTATATGCAAATAGTGCTTCAGATTTTTAAATTCCTTCAAAAACATATAATTTGAAAAAGTGGCATGCTTTTCTGCTGATCCAACTGGAATAATGGAGAGATTAAGTTAGAATACGAATTTCAATAGTAGTAGTAGTAGTAATAATAATAATAATGATAATAATAATAATAATATAATAAACAATACTTGGCAGAAAAGTGGACCACTTTTCACTCTTAGGCTGCTGTTTTGTGAGAATTCTGAACTAATTATGTTTAGCATGAGCCAGCGAAACCCTAAACCTCATTCTCGCTCCCCTCCAGCGCCCCACCCCCAGTCTCGATGTACACACCCTCACACCCCCGAAAGCACTTCTCCACCCCATCACTCCCATCCTCCACCCCAACACACACACACACACACACACACACACACACACACACACGCACGCACGCACATACACACACACTTACACTTGTGCTTTCAGGACAACGAAACAGAGGATATTTCCCTGGGGAAAGAAATCTTGCCCGGCGAGATCTCCCCATTGGTTGTTTACCCGGAGAAATCTACATGTTTAAGGGGGATGGTGCATCCATAATCAGTCTGTCCCTGTAGGATTTGGGTCTTGGCGACCTTTTTGTGACCTCTCCCGCCAGAGGAGGCTGCTGTCACTTTAAAAATTTACTGAAAGAGGAGCCGTCTGGCTTCCGATCACTCTAGGCGGCGGGAGATAGCTCCCTTTCTCCCTCGCCCCGGGTTCTTTCTGGATGGCCGAGCAGATCCTCTTTAAAGAGACAGTTCATGAAATAGAAACCCGGCGGCTGAGCCTGGAGTTGCGAAAGGGGACGATCCCGTGAGGTCTAAGAACCGGGAAGGCGCGGCGGAGGATCTGAAAGGGGGCTAGAGCTCCCCTTGCCTCCCCGGGCCCCCCACCTTTTCAAACTCTCCTCCTCCTGCCTGTCCCCCCCAACCCCCGCCCTTGGAACTGGGAGAGAGAAGTAGAAGAAGTTTTAGTGGGTTTCAGATAACTTTCATTACACATCGGTCTGATAAGAGCAAGAGAAAGTGAGAAAAGAGGGAGGTGATGTGAACCAGAAGGAATAGCTCGGAGCTCATTTAGGAAGGGGGAAAAAAGCCAAAATACACCAAACCCGGGTCACCCAGACGAAAGGAGACTTCATTTCTGTTCTTAAAAATACACTGTTGGCGGACAATAAATCTGAAACGCGTGGTCCTGGCGAGCCGATCCCAGAGACGGACAAAGTTACCAGAGACCCATTCGGAAATCGAGACGCGAGGTGTTTTTTTTGTTTTTGTTTTTGTTTTTTAATACATCTCCAAATGTGGCTCAGGACCGTTTGAAAGGATTGTTCGTGCAGGAAAGCTGGGGGCTGCTGATCATTTTATTTTGTTTTAATTCTTCTGTGATTGCCTTTAATCGCTGAGTTGAGGCCATAGAAATCTTAAGGTAAGAGAACTCACTTTCAAAAAAAAAAAAGTCTAGGCGATGTGCACAGTGTGTAATGTGTAACTTGGGACGGTTTCCTGCCCGGGCGTCCCTTCTCCGGCGCCCCCCGCCCCCAGCCGGCCTCCCCAACCTGCCCGCGGTCCCGTGGAGCCGGGCTGCTTATCTACGTCGCCGGGACTGCCGATTTCCTTGTTCCTCCTGCGGAACGGTGCGGTCCGGACGCGGCTCCGGGGTGGGTCGTCCGGCCTTCGGTGGGTCTCGCTGCGGGCTGTCGGCCGCTGTTCCTCGAGCTCTTCTCCTACTTCCCCTCCCTCCGTGTGTCTGTCCGTCGGTATCAGGGACGCAGACGGTGGGGTTGCCAAAATCTGAATTCCTGGCACCGGCCACGCGTTTTTGGAGCGGCTTTCGGCCGAGTTCCACCTTGCCAAGTAACAGCTTTGCTGTCCAACATCGTGTGCTGCTTTGCGAGAAAGTCACATTCGGACCCTTTGGCTAGGCTGTGGGGATTTTTTTTTTTTCCTTTTGCTATTGGGATTTTGAAAAGGCTTTTCTCTAAAGTCCACCTAAAGGGAAATCTTTTTTTTTTTTTCTTAAGCTATCTTTGGAACTTGACAGCTTCTAAAAACACAGGAGTGTGTTGGATGAAATGATGGGATATGTGTTACTTTATTTTATTCGAGATTTCCTAGACGATTAAGACATTTGGGAGACAAATGCAGTTCTGGTAGCGAATCAAAAGTGAATAATTCACCCAGGGGGGAAATGTTTCTGCAGAGAGTTAAGCTTTTGTCTTGGAACAAGAATATTGAGAGTAAGAAAGTTAATATGTTGGTGAAATATTTGAATGATCATGTAACATATATGTGAAAAGACTTCTTTGGAAATGAACCTGTTTTTAAATTAATTTCACTGTTGACAGTGGCAGTGGCAATAATGTTAACAGGGAATAAAATTACGCCTAGAATTTTTATGTGCAGTATATGCAATACTTAACTCCTTGCCCCCGCAAAAGGGAATGCTCACAAGCTGAGGGGATAGATGATTCCTGACTTTAAAATTAGCAAGTTTTCCACGTTTTCTTGCAAATATGAAATGGAACTGGTGTTGTATTTCACTGACTTCACCCTATTTCCTTCATTAAATATTTCTCTAGTGTGTCAGTAGAACTGCCTTTTTTTTTTCCTGGTCATGAAAACAAACAACAAAAGATCAACCAGAAACCAACAAAACAAACCAAATAAAACAAAACAAGACAAAAAATTCCAACTTTTTACTTTTTTCAAGGGTGTATTGCTATTGTTATTTATGCTTCTTCTAGACATCTAAGGAGGGGGGAAATCTCAAGTTGCCATTTGAGTTACTCAGCATTGAGGGTTGAAGAAAACAACTTAAAGTTTATAATTTAATAAATAAGAAACTGTTCAAGTCTGTCCTTGCTAGAGAGGATATTTAATGTAGATTCTTTGTTGCTGTTAGTGTGAAGAGGTGTCCTTGAAAAAGACTTGATTTGTGTGTGTGTGTGTGTGTGTGTGTGTGTGTGTAGTAATTATTGTCCCTATCTTCTGTTTCGATTTTTCTTTTTTAAATTGTGGGTCTACTTATTGCCCTTTAATTGCCTCATGGCCAAAGGCTTATTCATTATGCTCTTGACTAGAGCCCCAGAGCACTGGGCTTCTGACTTGAAGTTTGTGGTGAGTTAATGACTTGAATCTGCATCTGGGTGATTACCTGAATTCTATGCTAAATTGCTTTTGGTATACATACCCAAGAGTTTAGTTTTGAATTTTATGTAGGTATAGATACAGTAGAGTTCTGTGGGGGTTATTTAATTCATTAATATTTGTTCTAGACTATATTGTTTAGTCTTTGATGGGAAACTTTCTCGAGTCTGCATTAAGTGATTGCCATTAACATTACCAGCCTCTCTAGTTATTCACCATCAAGCCAGCAACTTTGTAGCTTTTAATACTGACGTTTAAAATGTTGCTGCTAATGAATCAGATGCTTCATAAGTATGCAAAACCTTAAAAATGGATGGTTCCCATTTCAATTCTTGTTTAATAGGTGTCCTAAGTAATGGTTAATATTTAGCATAGGCCAAATGTAAAATCTCATGAAAAATACCAATATGCCACCATCTATAATAATGGCAATTTATTAAAATACTCATATATTTTTGACTTACTAACAAACCAGTTTTGGTATTCTGCTTACTAATTGTACAACTGAGACATGCTCTGGCATGTGCGAAATAAAATGTCAGGTTGCCATATTTGCATGAGGGTTTACCAATCGTTTATTTTCACTTGTTTCTCTTTAGTTTGGTCTGAAGCATCTATTAAGACCAATCTTATTATCTTCTTCAGTTAGGTGTGTGATTTAATTGTCTAAAGGTAGTGAAATGCAAACTGAAAAGGAATTTCATAATATTTAGCTTGAAGTTTTTTAACTGAGTTAATTTAAAATGCAAAAATGTGAAAGTATGCACTTACATGGGAAGACTATCTGAACCTGAAATGTTGGCTATTTAGTTTATAAGTATTATGTTAATATATGCTGTTCAGTATTATTTTTCATTAAAAAGACACTGCATAAAATTAAGTCAGTAACATTCATTTATACGCAACAAGGACGCAAGTATCTTTTGAAACCAATCAGTGAGTTTTTGTAAAAATTTACAGTTGCTCCTTTAAAAATGGAGAATATTGCCCCACTTCTAAGATAGCTTACTATTATTGCTCCTTTATTAATATGCCTGCTTTCTGACTTGTTTTCTTTTAAGGATTCCTTTTTTGTATAAAAGGAATATACATTTGAAAAAAACGTTTTCAAGCAATTAACCATTGTCATGAATTAACTGATATGGAAATTGTTCTCATCTTCTTCTTTCTAGATCTTAGATGAGTTTTGCAATGTGAAGTTCTGCATAGATGCTAGTCAACCAGATGTAGGAAGCTGGCTCAAGTACATCAGATTCGCTGGCTGTTATGATCAGCACAACCTCGTTGCATGCCAGATAAATGATCAGGTATGTTGTTAAAATTTTCTTGTCTTTCTTTGAGAGCACTAAAGTATCAGTGAAGCCTGAAGAATAAAAATAACAGTGAGCTGCAGGAGACCCTAGTGGCCTGTTTGTTGATATGGTGAAGGGTAATGCACATATAAGTAAGATGCAGAATAAAGTCATTTTCAGTACTACTTTCTTTCAGTACTACTTTTTTGGGTAGTATACTCACTTTGTACTAGTAAACTTCATAAATACTCTAGTTTTCTGAGTGTGATCGAGTGGTTTAAAAACTGAGTGCTATTTTTTGCTGGCTGCTCTTTACCTTTTTTTCTTTACCATCATAATAGGGAGACATACAAAGTATTGAGCTAATAAAGAACACTGAATTTATGCAGAAATTAGAAGTGATACACTTGAAATATTACATAGATTTTATTTGAAATAGTAAGTTGATATATGTGTATGACCTATGTGTGGGCTTACCTGATTATGCATTTTATATTGACTTGCCTAATTGTAAATGAGAAACACTTTTAGATTAATCAAAGTATTTTCTTTTTTTTGTATATGTGAATTTAAAAAATATCACTGCTGGAAGTTGCTTTATAGAAGCCTATGTAGTGAGTTTAACTTTAATAACTAGGAAATAAGATCATGAAAATATCATGAAACATATTTTGCACTCGATAAAGTTAGGCTATGAATCTAGTAACTTAGTATGACAATACCTAAAACAATAAGAAGTTCAGCCAGTTCATTTTTGTTTTATAAACATCATTGTGTTAGAATTTAATTATGTTATCATCATTTATTTCTTTTAACCCAATAGTTACCTAAATCAAATATGTTTCAAAGACCATATTAAAATGGTTGCTTGACAAATCTACTATGAAAATCATCACCAAGAAAAAGAAAAGTTTAAATTAGATGTTTCCAATTGGAAACTATTAAGTAATGCTAGCGTCATATGGTCTAAGACTCTATTTCAATCATTGTTATGAGATAATTCCTTGGCATTTTACCAGCTACCAGATAATTTTTACTGACTAAACTGTATGAGAAGTAGTAAATTGTTCAATTAAGCTTAAATAAGAATCATTTAAAAACCTTCAGCATATATCAAAAACAACAAACCAATCATTGTTTTTTCCTTCTGCTGTAAGAAAACAAGAGACATTATTGACAAAGGAAAACATTATTAAATTAGCTATTGATTGTGAGCAGAAAATATCCTAACTCCGTCATGTGTGTTCTTGTCACATCAACAGCGAACAGTTTTTGAATACCTATTATTTGTAGATGTGGGATATACATAGGTGTTATAAATGAGTTCATGTTATATTATCTAAGAAAGCAACTAGAGGACCTCAAAAGGCAGCTATGAGATGAAATGATACAATTATATTGTAATAATTATTTGTTGTCCATATTTACTGAAATAGGAGCTATTTCCTTAGATTAAACTGTTGTAGAATTAGTGATAAGATGGTCTAAGAATGGGACTTTTGGCTAATACATTTTTTCCTTTAATATTTATGTTTCTAATATTTTATAATAAATATATTCTTGTCATTGGGAATCTTGATTGCATTAAAAAAGGGAACTGTTTTGCTGTCCCTAACTATGAATTTGATTGCTAGGCACTTTATGATTTTAACATAGAAACTTCTGTGGCACACATTGTAAAATGCATTGCTTTCAAAAGAAAATACGCTTGTGTCATGCCATAATGAATAACATGTTTACTTCTTCTAACTGAAGAACCAGGAAAAATAGTTAATCAGGAAAAACATAAAAGGCCAATATTAGATACACACCTAGTAAGTACTTGTTTTAAACTTATGTATTATGTTGGCAGAAATCTAAGATGGTAACACAGCACATATCAAATAACACAATTGTGAAATTGACATTACATGGTCAAGTAAGTTCACCCATAAACAACGAGAGAGGAAAGTCAGAGGTAAAAGTCAGATTTGTGTGATAGGCATATATACATACAGTCTCACTTAGCCCAGTTGACAAGACAAAAGAGACCAGACACCCAAATAGTGTATGCATATATTATAAACATACTAGTCTATAAGCTTGTATGCATATTTCTAAAAGCCAATTAAGACTAGCAATTCCAGACAGCTTTGAGATGTGAATGTTGGACTAGGTACAATAATAAAAAAGCTGACTAAAGAGATTCACTCTCTAGCTCTATTTTTTAGCTCTTTTTTTGCATGAGGAATAGGAGCTGCCAAATGGTGAATAAGCACAACTCATCACATAATGAACATTCTTATTGTGTGAAATATTTTTTAATGTCCAGACTAAAAGGGAGACCTGGATCAGGAGTAATTATTAAACATTAACATCAACTTGCCTGCACAACACAAAAGCCAATGAAGCACTCTCAAGAAACTGTAAAAAGTGTTTCTCTTTGCTCTGATTCTCAGAGCTCAAGCTTATCAAAATGAAATTGAATAGCAAGACAGGTATACATCCTGGACTATAAAAAGGAATAATTTCAAATGAATCTCTCAACTGTGAACTAGTCATTGTAGCAGTTATAGCATCTATAAAAGAAAGGAAAAGATGACACAGAACAAAAGAGTGTGTAAATTACAGTTTACTTTTGTTGAGGTAGATACTTGAAAAAAATTCTAATGTAAAGATTAAGCTTAATCAATTTGGAGCAGTTTTACCAAGAGGTGAAGGAGTTCTGTAAAAGAGAATAAATGTACTCGATAACATGATAAAACAGGTTGATAATGGTGGGACAGTCAAAACATGTATACTGGGTAAAACCCCTATTTGATTTGTTTGGGGGAAAAGAGCACTTAGAATGGATTTTGGTTTTCAAGTGAAGTTGGTAAAAGATGTTACCTGTTTTGTATCATAAAAACAAAGGCCATTCAATTTCCCTAATACCTCTGTACAAGTATTGTATTTGAGTGGATTTTCCTGAATTTAAATTTTCCAAAACTTTGTTATTTTATTTCATTTTTTCTTTCAGGCCAGAATGAGCTTTATGGCAAGCTTGCTTTCTTGACAGTGCTGCTTAGAAAGCTCAGGTTTATTGTTTTTAGATATCTTTTTCATTTCATGTATTTGAAATTATTGCATTGTTGTTTTTGGAGATAGAAATTCTGAGAACACTGACATAACTGCTAAACCATAATTTCTAAGTAGGTGCTACTTCTGACTGATATCCGTATTCCCCCCAAAAATATTGTATTAACTATAGTAATTTATCTTTGTAAAAGAAGGCCACACCAAAGACACGAGTAAGTTGAGACTACAATCATACTGAAATCATAAAATAGTAGATCCATTAAAAATACCCAAGGTTCTTGCTCCTTGAAATGCTCATTATTTTTTCCCATATTCTTATAGTTTCTATACAGTGGTACATAGCTATACCTCTGTGGCACAGCGTTTCATTGGAAATCTTTACTGAAACAACAGTGCTCCAATGTTTTTACATTTTAATGATCTGAAATTGTCCTGGGTTGCTTTCAGGAGTAAGAACTGGCAGCAAGAGGTAGAGCAGGGCAAGAGCAGAAGCACATTCAGATGACGAGAGCTCTTTCCAGAACAGGTCCTCAAGAGGAGCGAATATGCAGAGCAAGCATGAGAATGGTTCAGTCATTCAAGATTTCCTATTCCTACTCATGTATCTGGAATCACCCATGGGTTTAATGTCAAGTAGCCTAAACATCTAGATGATTTGTTGAATTTCTTTTTTATTCTTCATATTTTGATGTCCTAGTCTTTGACATCTTGTAGATGTCTTATTTTTACAAACGATTTCGCTCGGTGGATGGAGCATGTTGCTTTAGATTGGTCTCACCCTGCTCCTTTTCCTCCATCCTTGGAAAGTTTCCTCCTGCCTCCGCATTTCTGCACCCTTCACCTATACTGATGGCAAGACAACCCAGAGGCTCCTGTCCATCTCCCATAATGCTAGCTCTCATCTATGATATGTTCACAAACTTTGCATTCTTATGGAACAGCTCTCCAGACCAAAGTTTTCTTCCAACACTTCTTCATGGTGCAGTCATATGGGTTGTAATCAGACAGGTCACTAAGGCACATTTCATGTAAGTTGACTTTTTAGATTTAAATAAGACCCTCATTTCCACTCACTATCTGGGTGTGTGCTTTGGGGTAACATTTTATAAATATGTATGTATTCTGCCTCATAGGAAGGAGCACAATTTCATTCAACCTCCTGGCCTATCCTAACATGGTCTGCAAGTAGAATAAAGTTCTCAGAAACAAGACATTATTAATCTTGTCATTTACACAAGGTGATAAGTCCTTTCACTTTTAAACAGGCCCTTGACAACTGGTATTTAGTAAGTAGAATAAGAGAAGTCTGCTGTTCATTCTGAATAAAAAGAAATGTGTCGATAAGAGATTATCTAATGCCTGATGTACATTTTGAAGAAATAAGATATAGAAGAACTAGGGCCCCTCAGAGAATACAAGGTCAGAATTCACTTAGGGGATTCTGCCAGCTCTCTTGTGGTTAATGAACAGCAGCAAGATTCTACAGCATTTTCGGTTGGAACAGGCATTGTTCTCGTTTGTGCTTTACCTTATAAAGTTTTAACTGCTTCCAGGACAATCATGGCTGAATTGGCACACCCTCTTTCCCTCTCCCTAGGTCCACGTCAGTGGTTCTGTTGGACTGCTGTGTCACTAGAACAGTATTATTATTGCAAGCTTATTATGGGCTCAATTATTAAGTTATTTTCTTTGGCTTTTTACTTAAGAAAAAAACTGTGTTTTTCCTGTATCATTCAATTAATGCAGTTGGTGCAAAAAGCAGGGAAGATCAGCTCTGTAAAAAGCAAACTGTAATTTGTTAGCCTCTTTCCACTTTTTAAAAATGTTTGCGTCGACTGTCAGGTAATTTGTTAATTTGCTCTTCCTTTACAAGGATTTCTGTCCACATTTTCTATGACCTCTTTTGATGTTAAAATTATTATTGGCTTTGGGCATTTTCTTTGCTTTGCTTTTAAGTC